AATTACAGCATATCCTGTAGAACATTGTGGTTATTGAGAATTGCAGCATATCATGTAGAACATTATGGTCATAGAGAATTACAGCATATCCTGTAGAACATTGTGGTTATTGAGAATTGCAGCATATCATATAGAACATTATGTTCATAGAGAATTACAGCATATCATGTAGAACATTATGGTTATTGAGAATTGCAGCATATCATATAGAACATTATGGTTATTGAGAATTGCAGCATATCATGTAGAACATTATGGTTATAGAGAATTACAGCATATCATATAGAACATTATGGTTATTGAGAATTGCAGCATATCATGTAGAACATTATGGTTATTGAGAATTGCAGCATATCATATAGAACATTATGGTTATTGAGAATTGCAGCATATCATGTAGAACATTATGGTTATAGAGAATTACAGCATATCATATAGAACATTATGGTTATTGAGAATTGCAGCATATCCTGTAGAAAGTAGTCGCTACGTAGCAACCCAACCGTTACTCCACCAATATGTATTTGCCATAATCACAAAGTTAATCTTAATGTGAATTGAAGTGACTGCGATATTGTAAATGTTTCATCCGGGCAGAAGACGGTAAAACACGGGCCCTATCATAGTATATATTACAAAAAGTGTTCATTGTTTATTTATTTGAATTGACTCGTCTGAGCTGTGTTTATTTCTCTCTACCTATGCACGTCTTCTTCTCGGCATCAGTGCCGGTAGGCCAGCGATAGCCGCCATTCCTATCCCATGATGCCTCAACAACCAGCCCAGCGTGTATTATATACAAAGATAATAAATAGCTCAGAACGTTGTTTTCAACAAAAACTTGCAGTTTCTTTAATTCCTACGGGGAAATGTTTTAGAATCAGCATCTAACAAGTTATTGGGCGTTCTTACAGTACGAGGACGAGTCAACAGGCTTTAATCATATTCTAGCCATTACGTAGTGTTTGATATATATGGGGCTATCTCGCCATGATGCAATAATTACTAGTTAAGCTGATATTATTATAATAAAAATAAATACCTCCTAGAGATCATGTATGAACACCCAAACGTATTTGGACTTAACAGCCTTTTCATTTATTTCAAACTTGGCGTTTGTTTATAATATAGCTAAAGCGGGTTGTTATTCATTCGGTTGTTCAAATAGGTTGAACTGTTTCCAACCCTTACTTCTTACTGTTGCGCTGAACAAGGATTCGGTGATTTATTATTCAGATATTCAGGAATGAAACAGGTACCCGAAATCACGAAATCGTGTATACAAGACATATATACGAAATGTGTTCTTTTCTGTTGCACAATTTAACTGTTTTATTATCAACAGTCACAATACTTTTACATTGTATTTACTTCACAGTAGCTTCACATTTTATTCTTAAAAAACAGATTCGCCACCGGGTAAGACTTGTTTTAGATCATCAGCATCACAGACACTACAGCCAATGTTATTTCGGGCATTCCCGCAACATCAAGCTGACACGCCGTTATGTTACTGAAATACTGTTCAATGCGCGGTAAAATCCAACTCCCATTTTAATCCTGAATATTTCACAACAGTTCCCCTGTCTAATCATGAGTAATTCACAATACTTTCCCATTTTAATCCTGAATATTTCACAATAGTCTCCCAGTTTCATAATGGGTAATTCACAATACTTTCCCATTTTAATCCTGAATATTTAACAACAGTTTCCCAGTCTCATAATGAGTAATTCATAATACTTTCCCATTTTAATCCTGAATATTTCACAATAGTCTCCCAGTTTCATAATGGGTAATTCACAATACTTTCCCATTTTAATCCTGAATACTTCACAACAGTTTCCCAGTCTAATTATGAATAATTCACAATACTTTCCCATTTTAATCCTGAATACTTCACAACAGTTTCCCAGTCTAATTATGAGTAATTCACAATACTTTCCCATTTTAATCCTGAATACTTCACAACAGTTTCCCAGTATCATAATGAGTAATTCACAATACTTTACCCATTTTAATCCTGAATACCTCACAACAGTTTCCCAGTCTAATCGTGAGTAATTAACAATACTTTCACATTTTAATCCTGAATACCTCACAATAGTTTCTCAGTCTAATCATGAATATACAACTCAATACTTTCACAATAGTTTCAATGTGATCACCAATATTGCACAATACTTACATATTGTTTCTGTCGATATCAAACAAAAGTTATAGATTTTAATGATCAAAACTTAACAACTTCACCTGTCTTTGAAAGGCTTTAAGAAGTGAGACACGTAAGGAAGAGAATTTATGGATGTTAACTTCTTTATTATGAGGAACACAACGTTTCGGTGTATATACTTACTGACGTTGTGTTCCTCATAATAAAGAAGTTCACATTCATAAATAACTTCACATTTTTATGATTAAGAATATGCCTACATCCTTCTTATGTTTGCTAAAGTGCGCATAGATTCTTTGAATAACAGAACTCTTTTAATCCGGACAATATAGCGGTCAGATTAAGGAGTGTCCGTACTAACAATGCCTGTATTGTAATATTATCGTGACAGTTCAGTATGTAACATTAATGTGTTGAGGTTGTCCATACTAACAAAACAATGCCCATATTGGAGGGTGTCCGTATTTAGGAGGCAATGTGTTGTCAACGGTTATAACAAACATACACTACATGAATTAGACCTGGGCATTAAACAAGGCAAGAACACACACTAATCTTCTTCCCAAAATTAAACTTGTTCACTTTCAAGACTAAAATGAATTTTAATGGGCCTCCAGCAATCCTCAACGGGAACCCTCTTTTTAAATTCCAACTGAAGCGACAGCAAGAGAAACAAAAAAGAATATTTGATATAGCAAAGCAATAAACAAACGCCAGGCCTGTCCCCCTTGGGGGTGTCTTCTTGTGACACATCGGCGTGAGTACTTCAGACATCTGGAAGGAAGTGAACAGCCTACACCATTAATGGGTTTCCGCTAGGTGGCGCAGTCTCTTGCACTGCTCTACGTGTTTCACGTCAAGGCGAGATTTGAGAATTTGTCCGTTTACTCGCGTATATAAATATTGAACCGCTGATATACTTTGTTTATAGTCTAAGATGCTCCTTCCCGGGATTCCTTCCCCTCATAGTGTTGCTTATTGTGTCGTATATGCTTTTAGTAATTTATTGCAGATGACACAACCTACGGGTGTGTGTTGTTGATAATGGAGAGGTGTATCGAAAACGCATCGATAAAAACGAAATGTGCACGAAAATGTACCTTTGAAGCATTTGTGACAACCGATCAGTACGTATTTTCTATTAATGTTAAAATACAATTTCGTCAATAATTTTCAGTGAGTTTAATTTGAAGTCCGCATTGAAATTGTCTAGCTATATAGCGACTATAGTTTGAAGATAATTATTCTGAAAATATAACTCTAAATGATATGGAAAAAATGATAAACACGTTATTAAGTTTTGTCAAATATTTTTTATTGGTTTATAAGTTTGGTTTAAAGAAATATTCAATTCCACCTGTGGTTCTCTCATCAGAAATAACTCACACAACATGAACTTGTGCACACAAATCTAGTCTACGAGTGACGATACTAGTAAAAATGCCAACATCTGCCTTTTTAACTCGTACACGAAAAACACAAATAAAATTTGACAACCATGTGCTTCATAAGTAATCCATATCCTAACTAACTGATATATACACGTAAAGAGCAGGCTGTTACAGTATTTAGTGTGCACCGTCTCGTGAAATAACAGGCCATTCATCACATCTTATTTCACGACTCTCATGAGCTCGATTTGTTTATCAAAAGTGTCATCCTATCAACTAATTTTATTGTCGATATCCTTTAAATTTATTACACCCTTTGACCAAAGCTCTCAACAGACACTTAAATGTTATCTTAATACGTCTTATTTATCGCGAATATGATACCCCATTTCTCAAATTTCCCGTCTTATGAATGTGTAGTCATTCCGTCGTACTTTGCCCTAATGTTTTCACACAATCGCTTTTATTCTATATCAGAGTCTTTCACATTTCACCATGCATCATTTCACATTACTGTAAACAAGAAACAAATATACCATTTGAAGCGAAAACGCCACTTTGTAGTAAAAAACGAACCAGGACGAGAAAACAAGATAAAATAATTACTAAGATCATAGGTTAGGAGATGTGAATCTTGTTTTAAACAAACTCGAATTTTTAAACATAAATAGTTTTCCCTATTGAGAAATACAATATTTCATATCAGTGTATTAAATACCTCGAAGAAATAAAATATCTACTCAACGCCACGACATCGTAAAAAAAGTGAGAATTATGTTTTCCCCCAAACACGAAACATTAGAACAGGATTAGATACTTTCCCACGATACACCGTCAAGAGCTGAGCGCGACTACGGTGGACTTACAGTGATCTGTTTCGGCTCGCTAGAGAGAAATTGAATTTTCTGTAACTCTCAAGCCTGCCGTATATGAGATGGCGTCCGCTGTAGCATTAATGAGGATGATTTCCTTTCCTGCTAAATTGTTTAAAGTAAATTCAATCTAGAGGATGTGATTTAAATTCATGATCAATTCGTTTCTCTCTTCATTTGTATTTCTAGTCAGCAGGGAAGTGTGAATCATTGCAACCATCCTGTGTGTCAGCGTGACGCATAACATATACAAACATACAAGTCATGGTTACCAGTGTGGAGTACCGTAAACCTTCTAATAAATGTTTGATATAAATAAAATCAACTTTATCTTATACAAATTCTTTACCTTAAATTTACTTGAAATGTTTTCTGTTGCATGTCTGCGTCATACATTTATTGTCTATTGATACATAAATATCGATTTCCTCCAAACCTTACCTCATGTAATTATTTACCTTAAACATTCTTAACAGGAATAATGCCACATGTCTGTTTCATAAATGTATTGAATATTGATACTTACATAAATATTGTTTTCCTCCAATAATCAATGGCCATTGATCAGTGTTCTGTCATCGACCACGCTCCCTCCATTCTCCACACGGAAAAAGCGTAACTCAAACGTTCATGCGCTACGTACGTACAACTGGCCGACATCTTCCCATCGGGATTGTCCTCACATCTCAGCACCTGATACAAGAAGTCTATATACCTAGCTGCTAATTTCAAAGTCTGTATTTTACTTAATTTATCGGAAGGTAAGGTTGGAATAATCTTCCTCAACTGAGCGAACGCTTCATTAAGTGATTGTGTCCGCTGGCGTTCGCGAACGTTCGCCATTATGCGTTGGTTCTGAATGTCTTCGTAAGTCTGGGGCTGTTTACGTGATCGTATCTTCTTGGGCGTCGTCCCGTCAAGTTCGTTAGTCTTGAGACAGCGCTTCTTGCCGAGTCCAGGGTCGGTTCCTTTCAACACCTCGCCCTCCTCGGAATCAGCTTCTTCCTTGATGTCGTAGCCGGAGGAGTCTTCGGAGTCGTTGCTGCAGTGGAGACTGATGCCTTGGTTTGTTCCCATCCGATATAATGCACTTTCCGTTCCCTGGACTTGCTCGGGCACCATTCTAACACAAACCAAGTAACACCGTGGCTGAGCTCAAATAGACAGGAATAAATATTGACCTTAAAGTTCGAAAGTCTCTCAATCCTTCTTGACACTCAAGATACGATAATGTTAAATAGGCCTAGTGCCTAGCTGTATCGCCAAGGTTCGTGTATAGGATCATAGTTGGCGCGATGAATCTTTCTCCCACATTAGATGCTCTCCTTGAGTTTAGTCCTTCCTCCTCTCGTCTAGACGGAACAGGAATCAGAACACGAATCTAGGCAATTTTCTTCTGACAGGTAAAGCCCTGAAACAGTTGCTCCATCAGTCGCTTGTCACCAGCCAAGGATAGAGGAAACGTCTTCACTTTTTGCAGACCATCTCCCGCTGGAACGTTTAAGGCAGGGTAGAATTTAGGTTCTTTTATTTTCACTAACGAAAACAGTCAATGTCATAACACTGCCTTATCCATCAAGTAAGAAGTGTTGTACAGCTCGCTGGGACCAGACGACACTAAAATGAAATTGGATCTTCCGCCTGCTCTTTTCAGTGAAATGTCACTGAAATTTCTCACTTTTTCTCCTAAGAATCTCTCAACTTCCTTGAGAAATCGGCACAGCAGAAATATTCCTCCAAATTCCTCCGCTAATTCTCTCTCTCCCATGAAAGCAGACGATAATATCTCTTCCGGTATAAACAATATCCCCTGCTCCGACCTCCGTCCGATTCTTCAACCTTACATCGAGCAGACGATCAACTCTCGCACCCCCTGCGGGTCTCGCATGAAACTGGAACCTACTCTGAACACGAGACAAACAGACCGGTTGAGGTTTTACACACTCCCGTTTTGCCTGCCACAGATCACTAAATCCTTCGTTTACACGTGCTCTATCCTACCACGTCTCTCGACACGTTCTACAAGTGGGCAAGTCCAACGGAGCCAATTCTTCTATAATCACGCCCCTTTCTTCAACACGATAGCCAAACACACGGACCCAACTGTGCTAGAATTGTTGGCTGTTTCTTCCTCTCAGGACAGAGAGCTCCTGCTTCGAGGGTACGGATGCTATGTATAGCACCGTCAATCACGGAGCTTCGCCAAAGCAATACCGTTTTTCTGGCATCTCCTGATGATACATTATTTCTTAGTGCCAATTCTCAGGCCCTTGTTCTTGTCACGAAAAGTGGCCAAATTATCTCTCTTTTGAACCGGTTGCTGATGGCGGCGTGTTTGCTACCTTTGAAGCAGTTATTTGGTCTATTTCGTTTTAAACTGGATTGATGTTTTGTCTGTACGAGGTTTGAAACTTCCTCTTTATAGTCGTTGGATATAGACGTTTAAAACTACGTTTCAGATGAATCGGATAAAAACATAAAGTCCTCGTCATTGTTTACTCACTGGATTTGGTTGTTGCGTCAATTACAACCACCCGTGAAGATCCGGGTAGAACAGGTCTTCAGCAACCCATGTTTGCTGTAAATGGCGACTATGCTTGTCGTAAGAGGCGACTAACGGGATCGGGTGGTCAGGGTGCTGACACGGTTGATGCATGTCATCGTATCAACAACTGCGTGGATCGATGATCATGATGTCAATCACTGGATCGTATGGTCCAGACTCAATTATTTACAGACCGCCGTCCTATAGCTGGACTATTGCTGGGTGCGGCGTTAAACAACTAGTCCATCCTACAGACCCTGAAACAAATATATCCAATACAGCCCATGCAGTCTATGATATTTAGCAGGTCTAAATTACTGCAGCCCCTGAAAATGAAAAGAGACTCTAGGTTCGTCTTTTATTATATTTTATAACTATAATTTAACAACTGGTTTTATCCGTAAAATATGTTCATTTCAGAGCATAGATGGTAGTCTATCAAACAACAAACAAACAAATCAATTGAAACCATCACTTACACTGAAACCCTCTTAATCCAGACTGCATGGTTCCAACTGATGTGAGGTGAGATGGGGTTTAACGTCGAGTTCAAGATTATTGCACGTGTGTGTGTGTGTGTGTGTGTGTGTGTGTGTGTGTGTGTGTGTAAACAAGATACAAATATACCGACCAGTCCTTGTTTTTAGTCTCTTTAATGCCGAGCGCCAGGCAGGGAAACAAGAAGTACCAGCTATTTTTAAAAAATCAGAATCATAGTTTTAAGTTTAAAGTTTAAATATATATACATCACTAAGGTTTATTTTTTCATGTGGGTGTATTGACGAACCCGAGTTTTATAGGGTTTCAGCATCGTCATACATGTCAGTTGATCGCGCGGCGTTATCAAAGGTCAAAGTCCACGTCCGGTGTTTGTTACACAGGGGGACCTGTACCAAGCAACGTCCTAAAGGGACCTCCGAGACCATTTCGTATTACAGGCTGTCACTGTTCAAATTAAACTCAGTGTTTTGTTGGCTCTCGATATTTCACGACAGCTTGTAAATAATCGAGTATGTGGCAGACAAACCAGAGGTTGATGTCATGAGCAACGTTCGAAAGTGTGATGACAAAATAGTCGGGCCTGACCACCTAGTTCAATAGCCACCTATTACCGATAAGCAATTGCGTGTTGGGAATTACTTCAATTGGTCCTCACGGGGATTAAAAAGAGTGCCTGTGTATGTTTTTATGTTGATAATAACATAACTCCAGAAAAAACTAGCGTGGGACAGGCAGAGCTTTGAAAAACTGGAAATCAAACCCGAGTCTTCGGACAAAGGAGCGAGCGCTTCACCCACTTGACCACCCACCGGTTCTCAGTTATTATGATTTTTAGGGCAGTAAGAAGATCATTCGCTGATAACCGAATCTTCCTTTTCGTTTCTGTCATAACCGGATAAGAATCCTCACATTGTTTTTTAAATACAAAACTGTCTTAAGGGCGGTTGGGTAGCCTCGTGGTTGAAGCGTTTGCTTGTCACGCCGAGGACCCGGTTTCGATTCCCCACATGGGTACAAGTGTGAAGCCCATTTCTTGTGTCCCCCGCCGTGATGTTCCTGGAATATGTTTGCTTGGGGCGGCGTAAAACTATACACATTCCCTCAAAACTGTCTTAAAAGTTAGTCACAAGTTTCCATTTTGTTCGTTTTGGCATCTATCAGTGTCCTATATCTACAGTGTACAGTTTACATCGTCATGTCCACGGAAACGAAATATGCATCTAGTTCTGTTGATTGATGCCTACGAAGCCTCTAAAGGCCGGGGTAACTGCAAAAGGCACTCAAAATGTGGAACGTAACCGAAACGAACAGCGACATAACCTTCCGTCTTGAAATGTGAAGGCTGGTGTTCAACCTTTGACGGATGTGAGCGAGGGGGTTTAACTTGAGGGAGGAGAAAAAATACGAAGGCGATAATGGTGTTCCCGTTATAACACGAACCCCTCCTTATTACGCCAATACCTATCACTGCCTCCATGGCCTATGTGTGTATGCCTTGGCGTTAGCAATGCTATATTTGTACTGATAAACGTATTTTCTGCATAATTGTGAACAAATTTGGTTCAATATTTTTCATCAAAATAATGTGTATAATCTAAATCATATGTATGTCTGTCACACGAAGCGCATCTTGGATTATAAGTAACCGTGTACAATGACGTTATTGACGTTATTTAGACGTTAGCACAAAGACCAATTCCAGCCTGAACGCCGTCGTTTCTACGTCATTTTATTTCAACCAGTCCGGCCACGAGGCTTTAATCAAAGTTAAAGGTAATCATCAATCGCTCATTCCAAGCGCGGCTTATTCCGATAACAAGGCTTTATTCCCATAACAAGGCTTTATTCCATAACAAGGCTTTATTCCCATAACAAGGCTTTATTCCCATAACAAGGCTTACATTACTAAGCGTCACTATATTTTCCACACATTTGTCCTTACTGGTGGTGCCTTAAAGGAAACCCATCGTGACGTAATTAGGGCACGTGTTATTTTTAGTATTTCAGTCTTTGGGTATCGGTTGATGGATACCTTTAAAACGCAGTGGTGTTGAATAACATACCCGTTAGGTGCAACGTTAAAACTCACATGAGGGTGTGTCTTGAAAAAATATAAAAACAAATATTCAACTGATATGTACTTTTTACCGATTGTTAAACTAAACGGGAACAACATTGATATAATTAACATTATAACAAACTACCATGTAAGATTTAAGCACATTTGGTCAGCACGTTCTGTAGAGAAAAGTTAATTTTCGTCTCTAAATACAATATTGGTTCCTGGGGACCAATTCTAACCTGGATCCGCACGGGGACAGAATTATTTGGAGTCAGACACGTAGACGCAACATATAGAGTATGAAATCTTTTATTACACAAACATTTCTCGACTCAAAACAAATAATTTTCCTGATGCTGATTTCGTGGAAAAGATATGGCTGGTCTTGCTTTTACATATACTCACCGACAAAAGAAACGCGAATACTATATATGATGGTTAATATTTGAAGAATTACTCATAGTCAAGTGGTATTATAATGGTTTGATGCACAGAAGAACATACTGGTATGTTGTGTGAACCGACGCTCATGAACACATCACACATGACGTCATAGATCCATGGCACTCGATGCACCATTTGTCTCGTGCAGGATTAACGCGTAAAGTTTGGAAATCAAGTGCAGCATATCGTGATAAGAATAAACACACTCTGTGGTAACACCTGGCTGATTTTTAATTTTCCTATCAAGTTGTACAAATTTGAAATATCTCTTCTTAACGTACATACTTCTTTAGATACAGGTAGCCTAGTGGTTAGAGCGTTCGTTCGTCACGCCGAAGACCCGGGTTTCGGATCCCGACATGGGTACAATGTGTGATGCCCATTTGTGGTGTTCCCCGCCGTGATATTGCTGAAATATTGCTAAAAGCGGCGTAAAAACCATACTCACTTATTCATTTATATATTCTATGGTTCACGACCCGTGAAGATTCCGGGGTAGAATAGGTCTTCAGCAACCCATGCTTGACGTAAAAGGTGACTAACGGGATCGGGTGGTCAGGCTTGCTGACG